CCCACCCCAAAGTCTCTGTCCTCTTCCTCCCGTAAGAGGAAGGACAGAGACTGCCCCACTGTCACCTCAAACCCTGTCATGGCAGATGGTGAACATGCACATGGAGAAGGTTGCCCGAAGGGAGATCGGCACCTTGGCCACTGTCCAGAGGCTGCCCCCTGGTCAGAAAGTCATCGCCCCCGACAGCCTCCCTCCCCTCACGCCCTACTACAGGAGACCGCTTAACTTTGGCTGCCTGGATGACATTGGCCATGGGATCAAGGTAGAGAGAGGAACCTTCCTCTTTCCCATAACCCACCCTCCTCCTCGTCATGGCTCCCTTCTCCTCGGGCCCCCAGTTCTCGTCCACATCCACATCCCTCCGTGTCCCAACCTGCCGCCCTGATCTTTCCTCACTCCCTGAAGCCATCACCCTAAGCGGACCCCTTCTCTCCAAGCCTTCCTCCTTAAAAGTCCTTCCTGACGGGTCCCTCCACCACTGGCCTTTACCCTGTCCTCAGATGATCTGCTGAGGGTGCATCTGAGCACCCCCCTCCGTGGGGGCTGGGTGTGTGTGAAGGGGAAGAGGGGAAGGGAGGTGTCAGGTCGTGCATGAGAATGGCTCCCCAGCCACATGAGAACGGCAACTTCCTCTGTCTGGAGGTTTGAGGTCACCGCAGCACTCACCCCAGAGCCGCTTGCTGGTGGGTGGGAACTGGTGGGGATGCAGCCACTCAAAGGGGGCCTGGTGAAGACCGGGGAGCCTGACACTGCCATTTCCTTCTCGGCTGTCTCTGGAGAGGTGGGAGAGGACACGTCCCCAACCCCATTTCTTCAGTTCCCACAGGCCAACATTCCAGGTTAGACTAAAGCTCCCCTGGGTCTCAATGACCCCTGGAAACCCTTCCCATCCCATAATATGCAGACCACACTCCCTCCTTCAGGCACCAGGCCTCCCCACCCTTAAGTTCTTCTCATTGCCCAGCTTCTACTCTTTATGACTCAGCTCAGGACCCTCTTGTCTTGTGCCTAGTGGACAATAGCAGAGGACAGCATTCCCCATGTCCCCCATGCTTGGGGACACCCCACCAGTAACGCAGGTGCTCCCTTGCCTGTGGGCTTGGCCTGGCCATTTGTGCATTTTAAATGCCCTGCCCCTCTCTGTCCCGAGCTTCCTAAAGCCGGTTCTGCAGACCCGTCCAAACGGCAGGTGGGATACTTCTAAGTGTGTTGGTCCTCTCCTCCCTCCCCGCTGCCCCCACCTCCTCAGCCTCCCGTTGGGGTCGGGCTCTATCAGAATTAGAGACCACCAAGCTGGCCACTGAGATGTTTTGGGCGCGAGGGGCGGATGCTAGGCTGTGCGGAGGAAGTGGCCTTCAGACCGTGTCTGCTCCGGGTTTCCGTCGGGCCTGCAGCCGGCCCGACCAGAGAGGCCCGGGGCCCAGGCGGCAGCAAGAGGGGGTGGCTGTGGGGTGGGGTGGGAGAGGGGGCTGGGAAGTGGAAGTGGGAACTTGCTGTGCCCGCACTCTCCCTCCCAGTTCGCGGCCGCCTCTCCCTCGTTTCCTTTCTGGGACCAGGGCGCTGAGGGGGGCCCATAGACGTCAGCCCCGCCCCCTGCCCCCCCGCAGGATCTGACCACACAGCTGTCGCGGACCGGGACCCTCTCGCGCAAGAGCATCAAGGCGCCTGCCGCACCTGCCTCCGCCACCCTGGGGTGAGGCCTCGCGCTCCTGCAACTCTCCTCCCCCACCCTCCACGCAGAGAAGCCAAACTTCCTCCTGCCCGCACCTGACCCCTGCTCGCCGAAGCCTTCCTTCCCCCCCACTGACGACACCCTCCCCCCCAGGAGGCCACCCCGGATCCCCGAGCCCGTGCAGCTCCCCGTGGTGCCCGAGGGCAAACTCTCCGCCGCCTCATCGGTTTCTTCCCTGGCCTCGGCAGGGTGAGCCCCACGAGTCCAAGTGGGGGGTTGAGGGGAACTCCTGCCAGTTGTCAGGGTGACTACTAGGGTCGGGAGGACGCTCATCACAGGCCCGGGACGCACGACTGAAGGGGAGGGGCGGGGGGGGATGCTGAGTTAGGGAAGGTGTCCCCCAACCTAGCCGAGCCCCGCTTTCTCTGGTCTTCAGCAGCGCCGAAGGTGTCGGTGGGGTCTCCACGACCAAGGGGCAGGCAGCACCCCCACCCCCACCTCTCCCCAGCCCCACGGCCCCACCCCCTCCACCGGCCTCCGAGGTCTTCCTGCCGCCCCCTCTGCCGGAGGAAGTGTCCCTGCCCCTGCCGGGTAAGGAGCTCCGCCCTCTCCTCGCTCAACCGCGGGGTCTCTTCTCACCTCCCCACCTTCGCCCTCCAATCGGCCCGCCTCAGGGAACGCCTCGCCCGGGTAGGGGTAGCGGAGAGGAAGGGGCCCGAGAAAGTGAGCTAACAACTCAGCTTAGCGCCTGCCTTATACCAGGCTCTGTGTTCTAGCTTCCCATCCATTTTCGCAACTAAACTTTTAACAACCGTGAGAGGATCTTCACACTCTGATTGAACAGATGGAAGTTGAGGTTGACAGGTTCAATTAAGTGACCTGCCCGAGAGTCACCCAGCTAAGTGGCAGAGCCTCACTGCCCTACACTGCTCAACATTTATTTGCTGGGAACCTACTGCGTTCTAGAAGCCTCGTCGTGGAGGCCATGATGGGCTGGGGCTGGAGAAAGATTACAGAAAATGGGTAGATGCCGGAGCCCCGACTTTGAACAGCAAAGTTTCCTGGAGGCCGTTGGGAGGGGGTCCGCTGGGCCACATCTGCAGACTTTCTCTTTCCCTCCCAGCACCGGAGTTGCCTCCACCCCTGGATCTGCCCCCTCCTCCGCCCCTGGATCTAGATGAATTGGGGCTGCCGCCTCTGCCCCCACCAGACTTTGGGCCTGAAGAGCCTAGCTGGGTCCCTGCTGCGTACCTGGAGAAAGGTACCTGACTCCTGGGACTAGGGATCCCTTCCCGCCCCCCCGCCCCGGGTTCTACTCTAGAATCTGCAAAGGTATGAGCCTGTGCACCCCCCCACACACACACAGCCCTCCCTATTTTCTGATGAACTGACCAAACGTTCATCCAGGAGTGGGGATCCAAGCTGGAAAGACAGCAGCTGGCCTGGCACTGAGTATTATTAAACCCAGCTGGGGAGGGGGACCCAAGAGCTTCGGAGCCCCACTCCCTGCAGCCGTCCCCCTAGATGTTCCCTGACATCCCCATAGTAGGGCGGGAGGCACGTCTCATGGCAACCTCTCCTCCCGCCCTGCAGTGGTGACATTGTACCCATACACCCGCCAGAAGGACAACGAGCTCTCCTTCTCCGAGGGCACTATCATCTGCATCACACGCCGCTACTCAGATGGCTGGTGCGAGGGCGTCAGCTCGGAGGGCACTGGATTCTTCCCCGGGAACTATGTGGAGCCCAGCTGTTGACAGCCTGGGGCTCTCTGAGCTCCTGACCCACGCACTGCCCCGAGCGAGGTCCTTGAGTTCCAGCACAAAGCCAGCTCCACGGTCAAGGCTGGACTAGGCCTGCCCACCTCTTGGTCTGTGAGCTGGGCCTGTCCCTTCCCCTCATTTTGGTGGGAAGGGGTCCTGGGGAGAGAGAGGATGTACCCAAAGGCCTGCTGTGGACAGGAAAGAACCGGAAGTCAAAGAGTTTGGTGATCTTGTCCACAGAGGACCCCCTACTCCACGAAGGATGGGGTCTCCAGCTGCAAGTGCCAACTTCGAATAAAACTCTGATGACTTCCTGGCGATTGCCCTGCAGGGCTAGGGGGCCCGAGAGAGAGAGAGAGAGAGAGAGAGAGAGAGAGAGAGAGAGAGAAAGAGAAAGGGAGTGAAAGGCTCCTGCTAATTACTGAGCCCCCTCTGCCTGCCCCGGCAGCTGCCTCTCCCCATCATTTCCGTCCTAAGTGCCCTCTACACTAGACCCCTGAGGCTGGGCACCAACTGACTGCATCCTGTTCTTTTGCCTGTTGCTTTGCTGTGTTCTGCTCGGTTTTGGTTCCTCAAGCTGGGCACTCTTCCCCGACAGGGGGGCGGGGGGGTAACACCAACTCCCCCATTTATGTGGGGCTCTCTGAGGGCAGGGATCGCCTCGCCCTCACCCTTCAGACATCGGCGCGAGAGATCTCAGTCAGCGCTTCCCCCCTTCACCTCCTTTATAGCTCTGAAACACCAAAGAGGGAGGGGCTTGGCTTTCGCTGGCTCTGCTTTAAAACATCATGGCTTTCTGTTCCATACGGGAGGAGGGGGGCGCAGAGTGCCCAGCCCGCGGGGCGACTTTGGTAAAGTCCCTGGTCTCTTGCTGCATAGACGAGGCTGGGGTGAGAGGAGACACCGTCGCGCGCTGCGAGGTCCCGGGCCGGATGGACCCCAGCCGGACCGTGTGCTACCTCGTTCCACCACCAGGAGGCGACTGTTCCCTCCGGCTTTTTTTCCCCCCACTTTGGGGATGCTGGCGGGGGGTGGAGTGCGGGAAGGGAGGCAAGAAGAAAAAGGGTGTAGTGTGGAGACGCGGTAGGTAAAGCAAGACCTAGGCCTGAGGCCGTCGGTGGAGGGCCTCATCTCTCTCGGCTGGGATTCCGGCGCGACCTGGAGGCTTTCGGGACGGAGTTCCCTTAACAGAAGAAAGGGGGTTGGGAAGGTTCCGCAGCTCAAGGGAGCAGTTAAAGCAGCGGGAGATGTTCCTTTCTCCCCTGCCAGGGAACCCCTTCCTCCCAGTTCGGAGGACAAGGATTTTGGAAACACCGCTGCCTTCCCGGGTATGCGCACCCCCTCGGTGGGGCCAGACTCCAGAATGAAACGTTGCAGGGCAAAGGGGCCAGGCAGCCGCGCTGGGTTAACTGCATAGATAGGGACGGCTCCGAACTCCCTCCCCCAGCCCCCGGGGGGACGAGCCCGGAATCCCCGAAATTCCCGGAGGGACATACCGAAGCCAAAGGGAAAAGGGAGTAATAAAACTAGGTTTGTCTTTCCCGCTCTCCCCCCACCCCGCCCCCTCCTCCGCCCGGGCGCCCCCTGCAGGCCGCGGTCCTCAGCACGTCTTCAGCACCTGCTGCAGATGGAGGCGCACGTCGGTGGCCGTTTCCCAGGGCACCACGCTGGCGCGGAAGGAGCTGGGCTCGGCCTTCTGCGCCTCCTGGATAAGGCGGTGCATGGGGTAACCGCGGCGCGGGAAGGCCACGTCGCCGCCCGCCAGCAGCCCCATGGGGCAGAAGTCGTTGGCGCCGTCGCCCACGTAGAAGAGGCGCTCGAAGTGCACGCCGTCGTGGGCCCGCTCGCGCAGGTAGTCGCTGAGCACCTTGTGCTTGCACATGTTGGCGGGGCAGCGCGCGCAGCTGTGCGTGTGGAAGGGCCGCAGCGCCAGCAGCCCCCGCGCGTCGGGCCCCGACGGGTTGCTGAGGATGCGGCGGAACAGGCCTTGGTGGCCCGCGGCGCGCAGCGCGCTCTCCACGCCGAAGGTGTTGGCATCCGAGATGAGGATCACCTCGAAGCAGGAGCCCTGCTTGGCCACGAACTGCAGCAGGTCGCTCATGCCGGGCGACAGGGGGATGGCCTCGTAGATGGCGCGCAGGTCCCGCGGCCGCACGCCCTGCTCGCCCAGGTACTGGAAGACGCGCTGCATGTACTCGTTGTAGAAGCCCTCGCGGTAGGTGGCCCGCAGGCTCTCGGGCAGCCGCTGGCCCGGCGCGGCGCGCACGATCGAGTCGTCGCTGTTTTCGTCCACTATCGTCTCGTCGAAATCAAAGGTCAGGAGGAAGCGCGGCGCGCCCTGCGCGGCCATCCCGCCGTCCTGGGAGCAGGGGAGGGAGGAGGAGG